GAATATGTTACATTTTGAATCAGAGAAGTTGGACCACAAGGAAGAAACGGAGGTCTGCAATTGGATGAGATCAACCGCAGGGATGAAATAAAATTATTGTTGGCCCGAAAAGCAAAAATGGAGGAACTTGCATGGAAGCAGAAGATTAGGAAAAAATAGATGAAAGAAGGGGACAAAAATACTAAATATTTTCATACCTTGGCAAGTCAACATAGAAGATGCAATTTTGTGGAGGAGATGTGGGTGGATGGGGTCAAACATAAATGTAATAAAAACATAGAGAAGCTGTCCGAGAGTATTTTATGAAGCTATACAAAGAAGAAATTGTTGTAAGACCTCAATTGGATGTATTGAATTTCAAGAAAATAAGGAAAAGCAGCAGGAAGATGTTAGAAGCCAGGTTTTCTGAGAATGAGATAATCTCTGCACTGATGTCTTGTGATGGGGATAAGGCCCCAGGGACAGACGGATTCAACATGAATTTCATTAAAATCTTCTAGTATGTTATTAAAAAGGATGTTATGGATGTCTTTCATGAGTTTCACTCCAAGGGTAAATTCATTAGAGTTCTAAATTCTAATTTTTTTGTATTAATTGCGAAGAAGAGAGGGGGGGATAATATTAGAGATTTCAGGCCTATCAGTTTGGTGGGCTACATCTATAAACTCATTGCGAAGGTGTTAGCGATTAAACTATCCAAAATTTTGGAGAAAGTCATTGGGGAGTGTCAACATGCTTTTGTTGCTGGTAGGCAAATTCAAGATGCTACTTTGGTCGCTAATGAGGTTGTTGATGATCTCATCATGAATAGTAGAGATGGTTTAATCTGTAAGTTGGACATGAAGAAGGCGTATGACCATGTTTGCTGGAACTTTGTGGATTATTTGCTGAGTAGAATGGGTTTTGGGGATAAATGGATGGGTTGGATGAAGACTTGTATGAGGACCACATCGTTTGTTATCTTTGTTAATGGTGGGCCTTCAAGATTCTTCACAGGTTCTTGGGGGCTGAGGCAAGGAGATCCACCGTCACCATTATTATTCATCATTGTCATGGAAGCGTTGAATGGTATGATTGAACGAGCAAAACAATGCCAGCTTATCAAGGGTGTGGAGATTGGCAGGGGTGAGCAGATGGAAATTTTTCATT